TATTAAAAATATTGTAGGTTTATTTTACTTAAAGACAGCCTCAATTGGGATACTAAATCAGAAAATATCAATGCAATAGTGAGTTTTCTTCACACATAAAGAAAGAATGCAAGAATTGTCCATTATTAAACCATTTACTCTTAATAGAAAGAAACATAATTTGAAACTGTTTATCTTTAGTTGAAACTTTAGTCTCATATTTTGTCAGTTCAGGGATTGATGCAATTTTATAAACCTAAAAATCAAGGAAAAATGATGATGAAATATGAGTTTATTCCATATGTAACTTAATTTCATATCCTCTGGTGCGTGTCCTTTTATGTAAAATACCTTTTTATCACACATACCTCCCAAATGAATTTTATTGTATGAAAACTGTATTTATTAGACAATCTACAGAAAGTTAATGGTCTGTGCTCTGCAAGTATCTAGGAATGGTACTGGTCTTGCATGAGTAATTCTTTGTATTACCAAGATGACAAATATCCTCCCCTTGGAACAACAGAATAAATCTTACTGTAATCATGACCACAGATTTGCACTGAATTTTGGATTACAATAGATGCAAAAAATATTTGATTATAGGAATTAACATTGCTCAGGCTGTTGATTTTAAGTTGGCAATAGGATGTGAACACTGGCATAAGCTTACCAGCACTGGGGGATTCATTCATATGTGGTTTACCCCTATAAAGAGGAAGATTTTTTTTATATAGCCATTTTAAATAGTGCTCATCATTGTGGTTGCTGGCTTCTATGAAACACATCTGCCTAAGCATAACTACTTTGCAAAATGCCTTTTAAATATGTTTATGATTTAATGTGACTAAGAGCAATAGTCTCCACAGAATACTGTGGATACTTTTATTTTTATGATTCTTTTTTCACTTTTGGCTAAGATGAAGCAAATTATCAATATAATTGGTATATCGTTTGTGTCATGAGGCTGTCCTTTACTAGCAGGAAAATAGTCCCAATGATTTAGTGGGTAGTCTCTATCCTTAATTCCTGCAATCCTTCATGTGTTGTCTTAGTAGGGCCTTTATATGCTGTGAACATATGCCTGAGGTTCTCTTACATGGAGATAGGGAAATATTACCAATTCCTATAGTTTGCCTATGTCATACTTGCTCTGCAGATTTTGCTTCTCAAAAGAAAATCCTAATGGTTTTCAATCATCCTTCTGCCACTTCTGTTTCCTTATTCCGACTTTCTGTGCCCCATTCTGGAGCCCCTGAGAGATTTTTCCTACTTTCCATGGTCCGTGCAATAACTTATATAATTTTTCTGTTGCCTCCCTAAGGGATAGATAAGATTTGGTCCCCACTCTGAAATTCTTACAGTCATTTGATAGTTATTCTTATTTATAATGAACACTATTTGAAATAATTGGACCTCATTTTACCTTCAAGGAGAGTCTTGTTTTGACAATTGAAACTGAAATATCTGTAAATACAGTGTTAGCTGATTTGATTAACATGGAAGCATCTTATACTTGTTAGCACTCTGTGAGAATGTTAATAATGAATGTTCTTTATTATTGTCTTTCTCCCTTCAGGTATAGGGTTAGGGAACCCCAAGACAGCACTACTTAGACAAATAACAGTATTAACATTGCACTTTTGAGAGCGTAACAGAGGCTTAGTCTTGCTTTAGAATAGAGCAGTCAATGAGGGAGGAGGTTAATATCCATCATTTTTTTTCTACCTGTAAATTTTCCATAGTCTTTCATTACCACGAAAAAGAGCAATAAAAGAATATATATGTTCTGGGTTGTTTTATTGTTTTCCCTAGTAATCGTAATGATGACATTTTAATTAAATTTCATGAAAGTGAAAAGTTTTGAACAAAGTTAGGCTAGCTGTTTTTCTAAGTCATACTGGAAAGGCTAGTGTTCTCTATGCTGTGTTCATCAATTAGATCAGTGCTGTTTGTGCTTGCAAAGTGTTTTGTTTAGAGTATATCAAGGAAATAGAAAAATGAGAGCTATATAGTACATTTAACGAATAAAACTGATGTCTGACATAATGAGTTGTTTTGCCAGTACCATTGAAACATATATGCTGTATGAAATAATATCCACAAGACTTACTTTGAAAGACAATTTTTATAGTGTAAGCAAAACAAGTGTATTTTTAACAACATATATTCTAAATTCATTCTTGTTTTAAGTTTCTAGAGCAAGGCTAGTCAGCATGAGGCCTGTGGCCCGCGGTACAGTTTTGGTTTAAATGGGTCTCAACACAAAGCCCACGGGTGGGATTCTTTGAACGTGGCCTCCACTGGGAATACTCTCCACAATAGCGAGGTGTCTCCTAGGCGGGTGAGCATTGAAAGATGCAAACAGGCAGGTTGGCTGGAACTGACGGGTACAGGGTGTCGGCTTTTCTAGCCTCCAGGGAGGAGGTGCTGGGAGTGCTGGGGCATTGTGTGAAAGAAGCTATTTGCATATATATTTGCATGCACATGCAATAATACTTAGGTTGGGGCCCTCGGCATGTGCTGTGAGTATTGCTGTGGCCCCCAGGGCTTCCAAAGTTGAATAGCTCTGTTCTAGAGCCACAGCTTGGCTCCTGTTCAAGAAAATGTGGTTGCCTTGAAAGAAATTTTGATTTATATTGTCAGTTTTACATTTTCATAAAGTAAACTTCACCCCAGTGTACAGGCTCTTTGCATGGCCCTACACCTACCCTTAGTAGTTAGACTGGACACCGAGGAGTTAAGCAGAAGGAAAAGGTGGAAGCAACACTGCAGCATCCATTTCATGAATAGGGAGGATGGAAGGAGCTAGGTAGCCACCAATCATCCACCCACATGTTCTAGAGCAGCATGAGGCCCGTGGTACAGTTTTGGTTTAAATGGGGCTCAACACAAAGCCCCCGGGTGGGATTCTTTGAACATTCTTTGAACACTAACATGGTTTTTTTTTGAAACAGTGGCGGAGAAACTAAGATGTTGTGTTTTCTGCATGTTTCCCACATTCCTCACTCCCACTTTATGTATCACTTAAGTGCCACATTCAGTTTGGTGAGGGGCCTCAGCACTGAGATAACTTTAACTAAAAAGGGCAGATCATTTGGCTGCCATCAATTGTCATTGCTCCATTGAAAATATGACTTCAGCAGAATGATGACCATTTACCCTGACAAAGTATCTGCCCCATAATGGGTGGGAATAAAATATGCTCTTCTGTCTGAATGTCAATATAGCAGTGACTTACATGGGGATGTACCCTTTAAATAATCAGACCACCTAAAGCATGGACATCTGAGCCTTTTAAATGAGGGGCCTGTTTTGATGTCAGTTTTATTGAGGAAATCATGAGACTTCATTTAATTCAAATAATCATCTGGTGTATAGTGAAATCAGAAATAGATTCAAGTCAAATTAATCAAGTCAATATTCTTCAATACCATAAAACACCTTTTAAATCTTGTGTATTGTAGATTGAGTTTGAAATGAATTTTTAACTTTCAGATTCCTACAGGCATTGTCTTTCTGGAACAGGCCAATGACCCATTTTGGGCCACACACTCCTCACCTCATGGACCTGGCAAATTGTCCAGTATAATATTGGAGTAAGGAAGAGATGGTATTAGGAAGAATTGTTTTCTCCAATACCAGATTGTGATTGACTTGCTGAATATTAATACTCACTTTTTAAAAATCACAGCTTATTGTAGTGACAGTTTTGTTTTGTTGGTGTCTGCTCTCTAAAGTAAAAATCACTTGCCCTCTAATCAAATGGTTCTATAATGCCAACATATGGAGTAAAAGTGATTGCACAAATGCTATAGACAAAGATATCAAATACAGATGGGTTAAAGGCATAGCTATCCCTTCCAAACCATCCTTATTTAAACGATCCTATTTAAGCCCTAATTTGTACACATACACCATCCTCAACTATTCATTTGTACAAAATCCTCTAAGAAGCTTGTGATAGTCTTAACATTACTCTCTGTATTCGGAGATGGATTAGGATGGACTTGATAGACAATCTGAGGGGAAATATTTTAAGCATAATTAAACTGTTACACCTAAGTGCCTCAATGCAGCATATGATCTTAGAAGTAGGAGGAGTTGATACCACCTCAGTAAAAACTTTGTAAATGTTAAGAAACAATTCTGTTTGTCACATATTTTCTATCTTGTGCTGTGGCAGAGATACTGAAGTATTTCAGGAAAAAATGGTTAAATTGTACATTCACTTATACATACCAGAGTATTAATATAAGGATGTTAAAATAACTTGTTAATAATTTATACCTTTTTATAATTATATATGTTGACAATAAACTGTTTTCCTGCTAATTCCATCAAAGGTTGCTAATTAAACTGAGAACCTCTGACTTCTATTTCTAAAGCAATTGCATGCAAAATCCTCAGCAACTGTATATTTTTGTATGTACTGACAATACAATTCCTTGAAGATACCACTAATATGTAACCAAAGATATTAAGTTTTATTTCTGTAACAACGTTTTCTATATTGTATTTAATAAACTTTTGGATTATCCTTAATACTACAGAAGGAATGTCCAACATGTACATTATTGAAACTTTTTGTATTCTCTATTTTGTCATTATTATGAAAACATAATAAACTATAAATCACAAAGTCTTAAATTTTTCATTTGTTGTTCTGTATGTTGAGAATAAATACTGGAATAGTTATGTTATTCTAAACATGAAACCTGTAGCTAAAAAACATGATGATTATAAGTCTTTACCTCTACTTCTGTTTCAAACATGGCATAACTAAGTGAATGCTTATCATAAATAGAACAAGTTAACAAGCACACACATGCACCCCTCAGTATTTTTCATTTCTTCACAGATGGACTTTGCTTTCAGACTTGTTGGGAAAGTATTGGAATCTTTACAAGCAAATGCATCCATCAGCGCACCAGGGCACTGTGTGAATGTGCTAAACTTCACATTCTGTTAATAAACTAAAATGTCAGACAAGTGGATAAATCTTGCCTTTCTTACCATAGGTCCAAGGATCTAATAAAGGAGGCAATCCTTGACAATGACTTCATGAAGAATCTAGAACTATCTCAGATCCAGGAGATTGTGGATTGTATGTATCCAGTGGAATATGGCAAAGACAGTTGCATCATCAAAGAAGGAGATGTGGGTTCACTGGTGTATGTCATGGAAGGTATGGTTTGTAACCCTGACACTTTGACCATTCTGTTTAAATATTTCCCTTTCATTTTATCAGCTTACACCCAGATGAAAAGTGTGTTTCATGGCACAGATCTATTTTTATCCACAGGGAAAATGGTTGAAAAAGGTGAAACACTACTAATATATGATTGCTGACTGATTGCATGGTCTGTTCATTTTTGGTATACTAGTATTAGAATTCAATGTGAGCTAAAACCCTGATCCTACACTGAGATCTACTAGTACTAACCGAAGGCTACAAAAGTCTCTCTGAGTCTGTGCCATGGATCCTGATGTAAGTTGAGAGCATAATGAAAGAAAGATGGTCTAAGGCAAAGGACTGGGGATCAGAAGTGCTCACTTTAGGATGGTGGTAATATAATACTCCTGGAGTGCTGTGAGGCTAAGTTAACTAATGTTTATAATGCACACCATGAGCCTGAGATGTAAGACACAGCATGCAAGTGAAACAAATTATTATTTAGGAGTAATGGAGAGTGACTATGGATTCATCATGATTCATAATGTCTGCTAATACAACTAAAGTAACTAACAAGGCAACTTTATTTTCCCTTAGGAACAACATGGTGAATGAGTGGAAGGGCCATCTATTCTTGGGTAGCCACAATATTTCTGAGAATCTTGTGGTTTGATATTTATAGGTGCTGGGCACAGTGAGTTCCCTTTGCTGTTGGTAGTCAGCCCCCTGAAAAAGGAGGGTCTGGATGTATATTCTGGAGCTCCTGACTTGGTCTAAGACTTGACATGCACATGTGTGACATTTTCTAGATATTTCTTTTGAAAAAAAAAAAAAAAAAAAAAAAAAAACACACACACTCTTAAACTATATAGGAAGAAAGGTATTGCCATACTGGATCAGACCAGGAGTTTATCTAATAAAGTATCATGTTTCTTAGAGTGGCTAGTATGAAAGGCTTCAAAGATAAGTGCCTCTGGCATTGGCCACTGTCAGAAACGGGCTGCTGTTCTAGATGGGCTATGGGTCTGATCTGATTTGGAAAACTAAATATACATGTATACAGTTACTTCCCTATTCCTTGCCAGAAACGACTCTCATAAACATTTTGATCAGGTAAACATTGAAGAAAAAAGTAATTTGAACTGTGCATGCCATACCAGTTCAAGTCTCTGAACCATGTACTGGAAAACATTTACAATACCCATATCTAGGAATTAATTTCATATACTTAGCCTATTCCTTTTAAACAAAAGGCTGCTCAAGGCAGTAAGTCATGCTTTTGTACAAAATTTCTTGCCAAACTCTTCATAATGCTCTCCAATTGCAAAATTCTTCATCCTTTTAAAGCTAACTCTTTTCTCAAGGCACATTTGATTCCATCAGCATTTGACATTTATGTTTTGTGCATTAGAACAGCATTTTACACGGTGAATTAGTAAATGGGAGAGTCAAAAGCCAGCTCACTGAACAGGTTTTACCCATATTATATGAAAAGGCATGCAATTTAAAAAACTCATAATTTGATTGTAGGAGATGTCAGAAAATCATTCTGACTCAACATAAAACACATCAGCTTGAAACAGAACACATGTGTTCTCAATGATTTCTTTATGCAGCCTGATAAGTTACGGTTAATAAGCTTTATATGAATTGTTTAATGCCATGTTTTTATATAAAAGCTTTTCAAAATGCTGAAAGTCCAAACCGGTGCTAACACAACTCTACTATTATGTGCAAGGGGCTTGACTGGTGACAGACATTCCACGCAGCATTAACCCTTAGTAAACTTGAGGGGAAATATCTACAGAATTAATGTTGACTCTGTTGAATTTTGGGATGAATGTATAGACAGGAATGCAAAGAAAGAGGCCTGACACCTGCCATTTTGCCACTAGAATCTGGGGCATACAAAAAAGAGTTTAATTCTTCATTGGAAGTTCTGGCCTATATTATGCCACCAGAAGTATATAATTTCTTGAGTTACAGCTGCCCACTCTGAGCACATTCCCCTATTAGAAGTGCTAAGACTATTGAGGCCTCCATACTATGGGGCTTTCAGTGTACCTTTGTCTCTGCTACAGCTTTTTATGTAGGAAGTCATGGTTTTGAGCCTCAGTGAATCTCTTTGTCTTTGGCTGATCTTCTAACTTAATTTAATATATGTTATTTATATAGCTCCTTAGCATTTTTCAAACAAAATCATGAAACAAAATCATTTCACTCTGTGCTTGTACATAATATAAGGAGTGGCAACAAAAATAATGGAGCTGAAAGGAGATTTTATCCAGTGGGTCAAAACAGGGTTATGACCACAAGATCATTTGCTTGCTTTGGCTAGGTATGTATGCATCTTAATAGTTCTGCTTTTTAAAGTTTTTGTTTGTTTATAAAGTTAGTTTCAATGTGTTAGATTCACTGGAGAAACCTTTCCTTAATTTACTATCAACACTATTTTTTCAATATATGTTGAAATCTTTCTTTTTGTGGATTCTATTATGTACTCCTGAGGGAATTATGCCCCCCAAAATTAAAAAAATGCACCAAAATATAAAAATATTGTGCACAATATTATTTTATTTGTCAATAAGTAAATAAATATGGAGGCTCCAGCATGCAGTGGAGAGCGCTGATCGCTGGCTGCACAGAGGAGGGAAATCACTCTGAAATAGCTTCTCCCCACTTCCAACCAGGACAGGGTTTCAGCAGTGAGGCTGCACTCAATCCTAAGGCCATGCCAGGGCCTGGCCCGTCCCAGAAACACCCTGGGGTCATGCCCCTCCATGCCAGGCACATCGGGTGTGGTTTGGCAGGCTTACTCCAGCAGGATCTAAATAAGGAAGGGCTTAGTTTGGGGAGATCCAGATGTGAGGTGAAAGAGTTCTTTGTGGGGCAATCTGGGTATAAGTGGCTTGGTGGGGGATTTGGATGTGCAGGGGAGGGTTCTGTTTGCAGACGCAATGGGTCCGCATTAAAATAGATGGGGCTCATTGGGGAGGTTTGAGTGGGGGACTCTGGAGGAGGTCTGGGTGCTGAGCAAGTGGGGCTTGGTGGGGTGGAAGTCTGGGTGCAGAGAGCTTATCAGGTTGGTCCATTGGCAGAAGGGGTGTAGGCTCATCAGGGTAGGGGTTCGATTGGCCTGGATAATAGGGGGTACCCTAGTTCCTGCTGCTGAGGGGGAATCAGATGCCAGGTTCTTGCTTCCCCTTTTCATTTCCCAACCCCCCTTGCTCTGCCCCAATGCATACATTCACCATTGTACAGAAAACAGTATGGTGACCACATAGGGCACTCAGCATATGTAGAAGGCGAGGGCAACAGGGATTAGGAGCAAGGAGGTGACCTTCAACTGCAGAGTCAGAAAGGTTCTCTCCTTTCCTCAGGCAGCGCTGCAGAGTCAGCAAGTCAGAAAGGTTCTCTCCTTTCCTCAGGCAGCTCTGTGTTCACAGAATTGGGGGAAGGTGACATGTGACCTGCATGCACCCTATGTCTCATTTTTGTTTGTGGGGGGGGGCAAGTCCCTCCTAAACTATGCCCATAAGCACCCCCATCCCTGTGGTGTTTACCTCTCCATTAGCTGTTGGAAAGGATGTGCTTGTGCTGCTGTGAGGACTATGTGACTGCTTTTGTGTTTCCCATTGTTTTCCTGTTATTTTCTGCAGGGGACATGAATTACACACAGTGAAGCAGAATTCCCCCAGAAGTTATTCTTCTCTTGTGCTTGTAACTCTCATCTATGTTAACTGAAGTTATTCATGTACAGCACTGGGTAACAGTTAATGCAGTGTCTATTTCTAGCTTTTAGTTCAACATTCAGATGCAGACTTTTATATATGTGAATGAGATACAAGTGCTGTTTCCTTAGCAGGAGTGGCTCGAGGAGAGCTGCCGGCAACTGGCACCTTAGGCGGAATGCGCGATCGGCGCCCTGCCTCCATAGTCCTTAATGGTGTGACGTCATCATTTGGGCGCTACATTAAACACGGCGCCCTAGGCAACTGCCGAGGTTGCCTACATCCACAGGCCGCCCCTGTTCCTTACAGGTCATAATTTTCTAGCAGTCTAAACACTATGTATTGAAAAAACAAACCTCTTTTGTTGTCACATTTTTCCTGTACACATTACACTATCCATTTCATGGACATCGTGATAACCCTTAACTGCCCTTGTGCTGCATTGATATCCATTTATCATGAAGAAACAATACTGATTCCACGATTAAGGCTGAAACATTTCTTGTCAGACATGTGAGGTTTGTAAAACATGCTAGCTACACTAGATTTAGTGGCGTTTTGACAGTTCAAGTTCCTGTGCCTTGAAATTTGAGTCCTAATTTTTCTTTAATTCTATTTGTTATTTATATTTGCAGAATTCCAGAGCCCTGCAGATCTGAGAATGTTGGTAGATTATAAAGCTCCTAATCTCTGGTTTGCCACTGTGTTTTTTCCTACACTTTGATAAGATAATTCCAGATCTGCTAAATTCCTTAGGCTAGACTGTAGTTTTATCAATAACCCTCAGTAAAAGGTGGCAAATAGCTGTCCTCTGCCAAGAGCAGCACAGACAACAGATTGTGACTAAGTCTCTCCTTGATTCTGCACTAGCTCCCATGAGAGAACTGACTGGTATGTCCTCTTCTACCCAACTACATGGATGGAAGGACTAATGATTCTGCAGAAACTGTCCTTCTTTCATTAACAAAAAGGTGACGCTGAATGCAGGTTATGTTGGACTTCACTAAACTCTGTGCACTGCTTTATATGTCTGCATGGTTTCCAGATCAACTGCTCACATTCCTTATTTTCCTGGTGTTCTGTCAATAACAGTCCCTCCAGAGAGCATGTACTTTCTTACTCTCTAATTCCATTGATCATGACACAACTTTCCTATTGTACAAATATTTTAATATGAACAGTAACTAATATTTGATGCCCTACCCCGGCACATAGCTAAGTACTGTAGATTCTTCTCTTTTACCTCAGGCTCTGCTGATTACAGTCTTAAGTAGCTTGTTTTCCTCAACAGAGGATCTCACAGGGAGTTACCTAGGTTTATATCCCATTCTAGCAAATGATTTCTGTGGGGTTGGCTTCTGGATCTCTGTAGGCTCTCTCTTCTTGTTGTCTGCTGGCTCATAACTGCCTCCTGGTCCTTCAGATCACTTGTATCTCTTGCGTAGTCACTGTTTGATCTTGTAACACTCACAACTCCTTTAGTCCACTTTTTCTAGTGTATCTCTGTCTTCAACCTCACAGGCATTCATGTCTTCAGGGCTGGCAGACCAGCCATTCTCTAGAGCCAGCATTGTTGGCCATCTCCTCGTGATAGTATCTCCATCCTTTTGGTTGTAACAGGTCTCTCTTCATTGGCAACTATTTTGGCAGCCTCTTAATGATGTATTCCTGTGTGCCAAAAATGTTAAGAAGGGCTCTGAGTCAGAAGAAACAGCCTTGTGTAAGAGTCCCTTAGATGCCTTTACAGCTGATTGTGCCTTACTATGATTTTGTGGATATACTGAGGAGAAAGTATAGTGGTCAAACTCCCCTTTTGTATGGAAATTCTGAGGCAAATGGAATGCCATATCCAGAATGCTCATATACCAAGTGAGCATTCAACTTTCCAACTGCTGACTTGCTGGTTGTATTGGGCAAGGCATAAACCTCCCAGAAGTTTGAATAATATACTGTAATCAGTGTTCCCTGCAAGCTGAGCATTTGGGTGGCTAGTCAGGAGAGATTCAGGTGCTGCCCAGATGATGGGCAGAGTGCCCACAGCTGACCACATCCAGCACCATATGTCACTATTGGTGGTGCACATACGTGCATGCCTTGGTGCTCACAACAATATTTATTCTGCACATAAATAGAAAATCTTAGAGGGAACACTAACTGTAATTACTTACTGCTTCCCCTTGAATATTAAATAAATCAACTCCTTTCTGTTCCCATGATTGGGTAGGTACCTCATGTGGTAAGAGTACTTCTGTTGGAAGCTATCACCTTCCTGGTCTCACTGAACATCTTGCTTTGTGAGCTGATGTGTGGGTTTCACTACTGCAACCATATGGACAAAACTTGGATGATGCTTGCGAGGAAAAATAGATTCTCTGTATCACTTTCACTTCCACTGGATTGGATGTGTCTCTGGTGATCTTCATCTTCTTGGCATCTGCTTTCAGTTCCTCCCTGCTGTGAGTAGATGTCCAATGTACATCACTTCACCTTTTCTGAGTGGCATTTTTTCTGGGTTGAATTTTACATTCTCAATTGCTGTAGAAAAGCTTGTGTTTTCTGTCGAGGTTTTGTTTAGCTCCTGTATTTCTGCTCCCTTCACCCACAATGAGGACATCACAGCATTTACTTTCACCCCAGGCTAGCCTTCCAGCACTTGAGTGAATTTTCTTTGGTGCAGGGCTTACGCTCACTGGTATATCCAACCTTAGTGACCAAATGGTGTTGCAAAGGTTTGAGGTTTTAACCAGACTTATGTTCCACAAAGCATTCCTTGCACCACAAACTATAGAGATTTTGGCTTTGGAGAGCTTTGCAAGAGGCCATAAAGTAGATGGTGGCATCCTTTCAATGCCTGGGTCAGTGACTTTGGGACTATTCAGATGTGTAATTTTGCCTTATGGTTTCTTTACCATCTCTCTGCTGTTCACGCGGCTCTGCTGGCCTGTGGGAGTGTTGTGGTACCTCCAGTTCTGTAGAATTTTGAGCTCCTTGCTTACTGTATTACATAGCGCCACTGGAATTTTCCTTCATGGTAAGCACAGACGTCCTATTGTGGAGTTTACTTCCAGTCACAGCTTTCCCTTGAGTGCTCATTGCCCTTTGTAAATACCCCTGTATGCTTTTTAAATGGTCTCTATTGTCCCTGAGATACCTTCTTTTTTGGCTTCTTTCACTACAACAACAAATTCTGATGCTGTGCCAGATCAGATTCATGGCTTGTAAGGCTCTATTTCTCAATGAGACTCTGTGGTCTCCATCTATCACCACAAACTTCAGATGGTAGCATCTTATTTTCTAGATCAGTTATTTTAAGGTCACGTTTTCCTATGGACTGTATTACGCTCTCAATGTACATTATTAATGTGTGCTGTCATGATTATGAGGGTTAGCCAGCAGCCTGGGGATTAAGGGGTTAACTACACCTAGCCAGGTGGAGTGACCAATAAGAATGTAGGTGGGACTTTTCAAACTGGGACAAAGGAATTTGGGTTTTTTTCTCTTCTCCTTTTGTGTCTCAGAGAGTTCTCTGCAGCTACAGAGAAGGACAAGCATGTCTCTCTCTTTCCAAGACACCATTCTTCATTTTCTGTAAGTAGGGTAAAGTTTAGGTAGTTTCGTTAGGTTTTATTGTTTTAAGGATTGGGTATGGGATCTGAGATCTGGCATTGCTTAAAAGATGTTTTGGCTTTTCTTTGTAACTAAGTTCTAGTCCCATGGAGTTTCTCCATGAGTATATTTTGTTACCTTCCTCTCTAGTCATTATACTTGCAACCGGAATATTGTTGTAATAATAAAAGTTCTTTCTTTTCTTTTTATTAACCTGGCAGTGGTTAATTGTGTGCCTTGATTTTTATTTTAGGGGTAAGATTTCCCAAATGATCTTTCCCCTGATTTCTTTATCAACATTTGGGTGGTGGCAGCAGAAGTTTTATTCCCAAGATCTAGGTTTTTAAGATTTTGGGGGGAGTTTGATACCAAAGCCTGGTAGATAAGGCTTTGGGGTACACTTGCTGGCCCCCACTTCTGCATTTATCATGCCAGAGTGGGGAAGGAGCCATGACATGTGCGCTTGGTTTTTTTTTTTTTATAATGGGCATTGGGTCTAATTAACCCTAAGGAATCACATTGAAGGAGGCCTCTATTTCAAGCACAGAACATTTCCCTGTTAACATTGTTGCATATGTAGAGTTTGGTATAGTCCTTTGTTGTTTTCCTGCACTAATGGCATGAATCTGTTACGGTCTTGCACTCAGAGAGAGTCATAATGTCATTATCCCTGCTGTCTGACATGCTATCCCCTGCCTTTACAAGTCTTCCTGAGACTTTGTTTTGCTTTAGCACACACTGCTAAAATGCTTCAACTTGCCACATTCCTTGAAATGCTGTCATAGAGCAGAGTACTTTTCCTTTACCCTCTCCTTCTGTCTCCCAGAGTAAATTCATCTCATTATGGATATAGAGCTCTGACTACCTCTTCTCCTTTTCACAAAGCAATCCCTGTACAGCTTGCTTAGTTAGTCCGTGCTCAACCTACTCTTTAGCTCATGTCTTTGTTCCTAATTTATCTTGTCCATTGTTAGTAAATAGCTCCCTGGGTGGTCTCCTTATCTAAGCTGGCTCAGTCCTTGTCTCTTTACATACCCCACCGTTCAAGCCTTTACCATTGATGCAGGTAGCCTATGCCAGGGAATGCAGTGCATGCTATGCCTCCTTTCTCCCTTGACCCAGATGAATAGAGCAATAGATGCCTTGCCTTAGGCTATTAAGTGACCTCTAGAGGAGTACATCTTGGTGCATCATTTAGGAGAGAATTTTTATGTCTATATGAAAATTGAGGAAATTCTTATGAAACAATTTTGATTAAGACAGTTCAATGCTGTAAATAATAATATGTTCAAGAAACATTATTATTATAACATTATCAACTTAAATGTTTAAAGGGGAAAAAAGCACACTATAGGCTCCTAAATAATATTGCTACTTCCATTACTGTAATGTAAAACCATCCTCACTAAGGGTATGTCTACACTACCACGCTTGCTAGTTCGAACTAGCGGGGTAATGTAGGCATACCGCACTTGCAAATGAAGCCCGGGATTTGAATTTCCCGGGCTTCATTTGCATAAGCCGGCCGGCGCCATTTTTAAATGCCGGCTTGTTCGAACCCCGTGCCGCGTGTAGACGCGCGGCACGGGCTAGATAGTTCGAACTAGCAAGCCATTCCGAACTATCTGTACGCCTCGTGGAAATCCTCGTGAATCCTGGGCTTCATTTGCAAGTGCGGTATGCCTACATTACCACCCTAGTTCGAACTAGGATGGTGTGTAGACATACCCTAAGTTTCAGAGGGATAGCTGGGTTAGTCTGCAACCGAAAAAACTTAACTAGTCCTGCAGCACCTTAGAGACTAACAAAAAATGTAGATGGTGGTATGAGCCTTTGTGGGCACAACCCACTTCTTCAGATGAAACTATTTACATTTTTTTAGTCTCTAAGGTGCTGCAGGACTAGTAGTTTTTTAAGCATTCTCACTAAGTCTATGTTTTAGTCAGATAGTTTTAGTATAACTCATGGACAGTCACCTGGCAGTAAACTAAAATTCAAGGCCTTGTGACCAGTCCATGACTTGTATTATACCTCTGACTAAATCTTGGGAGTGCCATGAGTGCTTAGGAGTTGGCTGCAGGTGCTAGGATGGATGGAGTGCAAGAGCTTAGGTGGGAACAGCCTAGGATCCCCATTGATGCTTGTGAGATTAGGGAGGATGGCTAGTGGGGCTGGCAGGCTCCCTACCCAGCTGCTTGGAACTGGTCATATATCTCTCCCTAAGTTCCCAGTTCTGTGCACTGCCAGCTTCACAGCTCCCATTGGCCACGGTCCCTAGCCATTGGGACCTCTAAGAGGTGGTGCCTGAGGATAGAGGCAGCGCATGGAGCTAAGAGGAGAGAGGGAAATGTGACTATGCACAACCA